GCGCCTTGTGTGAGTGCATTCTGTGGACTTTAAAAGAAAAACCAAGCAAAAATCCAGAACATTTTATTGTTTGTTAAGCATTTCCAGTGTTCCATTTGCACTGGAGTGGGGAATTTCTGTAGCATAAAGGGATTTTCCATAGATCTAGCAGGGATGACTTTAAGCCATCCCTCCAGTGAATCAGCCTTCACCGTGATATAGACTCGCACAGGCGGTCCATTTTTTCTTATTTTTCGCTGCTGTTGTGAAATATTGCTGGCTCGGTCGTGCCGGGAAGCTCCATCTAATGTGTCCTGCTGTGCGGGTGTGGTTAATAATTTATTGCAAGCCTACAGACACTCCGCGTAGGGTCCTCAGCTCAAGTTCTTGTGGCAATTTTGTCGCTTTTGCCAGTGACAAATCCATTTTTGTTGATATTATTTGTTGCACCGGTGCATCTACGTATATGGCAGACATGTGTTTTGTAGCCGCACGTTTGTACGGAAAGTTAAGAACCGAATGTGTTGATTCGTCGTTTAATATTGATTCTGAAGCTGGCGATACGCGTGAGAGTCAACGTTTTTAGCGAGAGTCGTATTTGTCGTACGTCATGAGGTTTCTCGTCACCGCTGCGGCCACTGGAGGCCGCCGCATTCCCCACCGTGCAAAGCAAAACAAAAAGAATCGAGTCTTAAATTTAATCTGTGATCCAGAATCATGACAGCTGATCAAATCGCCAGGACGGTTTATAGTTCTGCCCTTGCAGAACGGTGCTTATGGCCTACATGCGTACACGTGTAAAAGCCTGTTCCATTTTTAGTCTGTACGGTATATTTGTGTGCATATGTGTATTGGGGATGTAATTCCGATTTAGGATCCATACGAAAAATCTAAAGATCAGACCCTAATTTTGGAATTTCGAGCATTAACATTTTTTGGTTATGTTTCAGGTTGATCATAAAAACAACGGACGTGATGTCACCACTTCTGAGCTTTTCCCGCCAATAGCGGTGTCACCGTGGTTAGCACGGGTACACAATAATCCGAATATCGTAAAAAGTTCCGAAATTGTCGTTAAAAATCCCCAAATCTGAAATCCGAATGTTTTAAAGTGTTCTGAGCCCTGTCACGGGCACCTTGGCGAGGTCCCTGCCACTGTGTGGCATGTCGCAGCTGTTGCCAATTTCGCGTGTGTGCGAGTCGCCAAACTGATCAAAAGCAATGTGGGAAAATCACCTCGCTATTTTGGTGAATGGCAGCTGCTGTTGTGTGTATGGGCCACCTATCCGGGCACAAGCAATGTGGTTTGACTAGCCTTGCGAAAGTGTCACCTCTGCTTAGTAGCAAATGCTGACTTGCTGATATGTGTACGGGGAGTAATGTATTTGTGCCTCTTCAGTGCACTGCGCTACAATTGCAGAAAATAATATACAGCTCCTTGTCAGTCCAGTACTGGATGAAGGTCTCCCCACGCCGTGTCGGTCGCGAGGGTTGATTGACCATACTTCGCCATGCTGGTCGGTGCGGGTTGGGGAATGTAGCTGGCACGGGGCGGTGTTCAGATATCACTCTTCTCTGATGTGAGACGTGGCCAGGAATCGAACTGAGGCCACCAGGCTCGCAGCTCTGTCAGCGCTACACATGCGTCCCGAAAACTAGGTCAATTCCTCTTCATGCCCAACATCATTGCCCTAATTGGTATCAGAATCTGTCCACGGTCTCCCCCAAGGTTTGGTCAGTCTATAATTAGTCCATCGTTCTTTGTGTCAACATTAACACTGGGAAGACAAAAGTGGGCAGGTTTGCTGCTACTGCTGCTGCTGCTGCCCACAACTCCATTTTGTGTGCCATGCTAGGCGAAATACATTTTCCGTAACAGCTCTGGCCACAACCGTCTCTCTGGCTAATTGGAGGATCTCTGTCTCTGTGAGTGGATGTGTGTGTGTGTAGCGGTTAGCGCGCTGCGCTATGAACCTGGCGACCCGGGTTCGATTCCCGCTCCGATTCCCGCTCACGGCCAACACCAGTGACGATTTTCTGAACCGGTCCCGGGCCTCCCCTAGGTCGACTAAGCCTCAAATGAGTACCTGGTGCGATGTGTAAACATCGCCACTAGGGAGACAAAGGCGGCCGGGCGTGGTGTTGGCCACCCACCCCCTCGTGTGCCGTGCCGGCCTTCATAGGTGCTCGCTAGCAGCACTTGCCCCAACAGTCTGTTAAGGCTATACGGGGGATCTTTGTCTTTGTATTATATATTGCATGTCAAAATTAACCTGTTCCCCAACACATATTGGGTGTTGCTTCTGTCTTAAAACAATGTATTTCCCTTCATCAGTCCACTGCTGGACCAAGAGCATCTGCTCAATCAAGATTGAGCATATTGTAAAGCAATGCTTAAATTATTTATGGATGTGTTTATGCGCCAATGTGACCTACACTTCTCAGCCGTTAAAACAAACAAGATGCTGCATAATGGGAACATCTCGCACCTTACATGCACCACGTTTTTGTAACCACCGTCCAATTTAAAGCGTTCGGCCATGCTGTTCACCTCATCGTGCCCTTTACCAGCTCAGAATTGTCAGTCACAGTGAAGCAACGTTTGATTAAAGTTTTAAAAACCACAGGGCTTAATATCGCACTACTGTACAGCATTCCCTCGTTATTCATGCACTTGCTAAACGTGAGTTTGGATATCCGTGAATTGCATCTGGAACTCTACACGGATGCATCGAGAGAGAGAGCGATAGAGAAATCAAGTGATGAGAGCGAATGTGATGCTAGAAAGTGATCAGATAAAGTGATTAGAGATCAAGTGGTGAGAGATAAAGTGATTAGAGATGAAGCAATTGGAGAGAAAATGATGGGATAGAGTGATAGAGTGAGATACCTTCTCGAATCTTTAGATGCATCTGCAAATATAGGCAAATATCATTATCCGTGAAATTTGCTATTCATATTTATCGCAAAAAACGAGGGAAAACTGCATGTCCATTTGAAATGGTTAAATCTATCATGCATTGTGTCTTCAGTTGCTATTTCAGACCGGCGCCTTGCCCCTTTGCATCTTTAGAATATCCATGGCGAATTTGTTTTGTCAGTGTCCACGCAAACACAGCCAGCTCAGACGATACAAATAAAATGTCACTACTTTTATTAAATAATTATCATTGCGGTGAGGGGAGAGGGGGAGAGGAGTGCAACTTTTAAAAGCAGAGAGAAAGCCCTCAGGAAAATCATGCAATGTTTTTAAATTAATGGATTACGCCCATCGCTCGTTCCTGCCAAAAGTCCTGAGGTATACCTTAGAAATCTTAGAAATAAGTACGTGAACAGATTTTAAAGTAAAATTAGCATGCAGTTATGAGGGACAACTTTACCTCAAAAAGTCTAAAGAAGTGTGATTTTGTTAAATTTAAATCGTGTACATGAAGACGATCTTTATGCGGCCGTCTTTGGAACTGACTTTTTGTGTTTAGTTTGTTGTCCTGGCCCCACACCTCGGATTAGCACGGTTAGCTACGTACGGTGCGAAAGAAGTTCAACATACATACAGCATGATGAAGAAAAGGAGAGATTGATGATTCACAATTCACAAATGGTAGCCCTTAGAGAGGGGTGAGACGAAATTCTAAAATCCACGGAGCTGACATGGACACAGACGGCATCGGGAGCCTTTCATCCAGCAGTGGATAGAATATGGTTGCAAATGATGATGGTGATGATACGACATTGCCGGGTGCATTTGGTGATCGTTCTTCATTTTATGTTGACTGGTTTGCACGCCCGTTCATCGTCTGTGTTGTGAGCGTGTTAACGTGCGTGTGTACGTGCGTGTGTACGTGCGTGTGTACGTGCGTGTGTACGTGCGTGTGTATGTGCGTGTGTACGTGCGTGTGTACACTTCACGTGGCCTCAAGGTGCACATGGCCTGGCACAAGCGTCGTGGTGACGTCACCGCCACTTAGTGGCGAATGACGGTTGTTGTGTACGTGGGGAGCGGTAGTGTAGCGGTTAGCGCGCTGCACTACGAGCTTGGCGACCTGGGTTCGATTCCCGCTCACGGCAAACACCAGTGACGATAATCTGAACCGGTCCTGGGCCTTCCCTAGGTCGACTCAGCCTCAAATGAGTACATGGTGCGGTGTGTAAACATCGCCGCTAGGGAGACAAAGGCGGTCGGGCGTGGTGCTGGCCACCCACCCCCTCGCGTACCGTTCCGGCCTTCATAGGTGCTCGCTAACAGCACTTGACCCTACAGTCTGTTAAGGCTATATGGGGGATCTTTGTATGTGCGTGTACGTGCGTGTTAACGAGCGTGTGTACGTGCGTGTGTACGTGCGTGTGCTCGCTCCGTCTGTGACCATGCACCTGTGCATCTGAATCCGCGTGTGCCTCGCCTCCAGAGATACCCTTCAAACACTCCGTGTGAACCCACATCATGTAAACATGTGGCTCACCACTGCCAACAAAATCTCTTTTGTTCCAGTTCGCGTCATAGATTAAGTACGCCACTGTGCGTCACATTGCATTGCATTTACAAGCATGATTCCATTTGCACAAGCCCTGCGCGTTAATTGCCCTGTTAAGACACACCGCATGTTTGTCGTGTACTATGACGATCGCTCATTCAGCTGGTGAGTTCCACTCATGGGACCCTTTGGGGAACACCCACCCGCGTCTGCTTGCATCATCACGTTAACGTATTGTGCATCGCTAAATCTTATAATTGTGGAGCCGTCCTATCAAGTGTTCTTTCGGACCAGTGATACATTTTGCTGCTCGGTGCGTCCGATCCAACATATGGGCCCTACACTGTTATTCATGATGCCCATTGTCCCGGTGGAGTTTTTTGAACAAACAAGCCAGCTGCCATTCTATCTTTCAGAGGTGTGCGTGGCCACTATGCCACTGCCAAAAACTGAACGTTCCCTGCATTGTAATTTACTCTGTAGCACGTTCACCTGTTTTCCTGTGTGTGTGTGGTTTTCCCCCCCCCCCCCCCCTTCTATTTTCAAAAGGCGTACGGCATGTCGGCGCTGCCAGTGAACCTCATTAAAGGGAAGAAAAATGCAGAGTACGAGCTCCTGCAAAACGCCGACGTCATCGATGAGGTGGAGCAGCAAATTGAAAGCATCCGAGCTAAGGTCGGTACACGTCTGGTGCATCGGTTGTCTTGACAGCTTGGATCGCTGTGGGGCCAATAGGCAGCGGCGACATTGTCCATTGCTTCTGACTGTTAACCGAGTTGTGCATCCAATATTTTTGAATAGTTTTTTTTTACGTGGATTTGTTCCAGGTTTCCATTTTCAAAGGAGACGCGGTGGTAGTGGTTCAGTTGGTAGGAGAATTGAAACTGTGTGGCTCATTCAAGTCGTCAGCCCCTGAAATCTGCCACCACATTGACGAATTAAATACGTAAGTCAAAGTGTCTCCCTGATCAAACAGCAAACAAGGGTTGGGTCGTGATCATCCTTATCCGTGGCCTTGAGACAGTTTTTGGAAATTCCATGAAAATATTTGTTTCTATATTCTTTGGTTTTTTCAGTAAAATCACGTCGGTACAAAATAAATTAAATCACGACGTTTCGGACGCAACACAAGTGCCCGTCATCACTTGTGTTGCGCCCGAAACGTCGTGATTTATTTTATTTTCTACCCACGTGACTTTACCGAAAGAACCAAAGAGTATGGATTCCTGCAGTCACGAAAACTTCAAATCTAGAGTATTTGTTTCTACAAAGGGTAATATTCAACAACTACCATCTCCTGGCTACCTTACGAGCGCCAACCTGGCAGTGTCTTGAGACAGCACAGCTGATGTCCTGGGTTCAAGCCCTTGAGTCACATAAGTCAGGCAACGAATGCTGCTGCTGCTGCTGCTTCTGGTTGGGGAGCAGCCAGTTTGATTGTCAGTTCCGTCTTTCGATGATTGGCTGTGAATGAACGAATTAAAAACAATTTAAATTGGCGCGTACGTGCAGTCAACTCTGGCAGTTACGCACGCAAGGGAGTGAGTGGAAATTGACCTGCCACTTATTGATCGATAGATAGATTTAGGATATATATATTTTATTTTTTGTTAAGGAGGAAAAGTGGCGGTAGCTTGGGTTATACAATGTACTGCGGCACGCTCCTGAGACGGCACCAAATATCTCACTTCCGCGAAACGGTTTTCCCTTCTTGACATGACCCGGTTAAGAAAAAAATGCCGTCACTTTAAATAGCGAATGCAAAAAACTCACAACGCTCAAATTGGTGTTTTATCAGTCACATCAGTCATGCTAAGCTTTTTTGAGAGTATCAAAGATGGACATTGCTCAATGGAAATTGCTAGCTAGTTCCCAAATTCCCCGAACCCCTGAATTGCACCCATGTGTTAATGCCTGTGGCAGGTCAAAGCTTTAGTCCAGCAGGTTAATCTTTTGAGTGAATGATTTTGTTTCTTTCCACCCCTGTGTGCACTGTGTTTTATGATGATTAGCACACGCGTTACAACATTTCAGCTTCACACAATTCATCATAAAATAGATAGCCTTGCCGCATGGAAGTTCAGTTGCCATTATCAAATCTGGCTTACGCTACCACTGACCAATAACCGTTATTTTTCATACCCTGATATCACTGGCCAAAGCATAAGTGTGTCAGTAGTAATAGTGAATAACAGCCTATGTACTTGTTTTCCTGCCAGGGAGAGGAAAATAATGTCTTAATGTTTTGGCTGAATGGCCTTGTTATGGAAGCTTTGGTACAGAGTGAGAGTCTTGAATATGCACAGAAATATGGCTAGGATTTTACGAATACTGGTCACGTGTGCGAGGTAGGCTGCCAGGAACGATGATGGTGGTGGGTGGTTAGGTGTGTGACAAATTGATGTGGCGATGTTACCACCCTCTCTGAATCATGCCAAGTCTTGAGAGTGTCCGCCCGTACGCGTGGGGAGCCAGGAGTGAATTGTTTAGCGCACTGCGCCGCGATCTTGGTTCTCTGGGTTCGATTTCCGTTTGTTCACAGGGTTTTTTTACATTTAGAAATATGCGATTAGAGTATTTGGTTGCTGCTTTAAATTTCCACGCGATAAGCCACTTCGTTGAGCTATCATTTGTGGCCAGGTCGCTCCTGAAAAAGAGCTATATATGCTAAGTGGGCCTTACCTAGTAAAATAAAAAATAGTTTGTTTCTACTAATGCCTATCTGCGAAACTACCATTGCATGGTAGTATCACGTAAGACTACCATTGTATTACATTACAAGCTTCCGTGATATACGTGGCTGTCAACCACGTCAAGGGTGAGGCTTCTGTAAGTGGCCTCATGGGGAACCTGTGTATCCAGTCGATTGTTTGCCCTCAAATAATAGTACGCATCTACTCACTGCGGATCCCCTTGAAATGGCAGGGTCATCATTGTTTTGGCCAGAGGTCAAATGTTATTCTCACTAACCTGACCTCTGAGACTTGAAATGCGTGTGTTTTGTCCGCACGCTTATCTGATTAGTATTTATTTATTTTGTGCTTGTGCTCCGCTGAGGACGCAGTCCCTAAATTCGTAATTTTGTCACACTAATAGGTATATCTGCCAAAACTTTATTTTGGCTTATAGGTCAGGTTTTTTCCCCCACCAAAGCTGTTATCATGAACACAATTAAAATGTGCATTTACATAACATATTCTATAATTGAGTAATGTGTTAGTATTGAGGCCTGTGCCATGGATTCTTGACTTGTTTTCCAGCAAACGAAGATGTGTTTTTCCGAGGCTTCTAATCCAGCCAGTGCGTGTATAGTAAGGCCACATGGCAGGCTGCGGTTTTTGTCCTATTGTTTGGACGCAAGTGTGTGTGTGTGTGTGCTGGCCTGGCACAGGCAACGTGGTGACGTCACCATCACTTCATGGCGAATGGTGTGTACTGGTTTTGGTGTGCTGCAAGTCAATATAAACATGTTTCTGCTTTATACTGTAACTGATAAGTATACAGGGAACTCATGAAATAAACTACAACGAAACAATGTTACATAGCTATTTTGTAAGAAGCGACCTGGCCGCAAATGATAGCTCAACGAAGTGGCTTATCACGTGAAAATGTATAGCAGTCAAATTCTATAAATGCAGGTTAATTCTAAATGTAGGAGGGGAAAACTGGAGGACCCGGAGAAAAATCCGCACGATCACAGGGAGAAAATGCAAACTCCAGTTGTACAGGCGTCAGGGTCGGGATAGAACCCACGACCTCCAGACAAGGTAGTTAACCTTCTTGGTTCTTTCGGTAAAGTCACGTAGAAGGGAAGTAATAAAATAATAAAAATAAAACATAATAAAATAAAATAATTCTCACGACGTTTCGGCTACAACGCAAGCAGCCGTCTTCTTCACCTTGCGTTGTAGCCGAAACGTCGTGAGAATTATTTTATTTTATTATGTTTTATTTTTATTATTTTATTACTTCCCTTCTACGTGACTTTACCGAAAGAACCAAGAAGATGAATCCCTGCAGTCACGAAAGCTTTAAATCGAAATTGAAGGTAGTTAACATCTCGCCACCGGTGCCACCCCTCATTGCTTCTTAAAGCTGTGCACTTCATGTTGGCCGTTTACCTTACATTTTTCAGTAAACTGCCGATTGCAAACGGTCGGTAAAATCCGCCGTGTTTGTCACGTGATTCTGCGTGGCAGTTTATCACGGTGATATCGACCAGTTCTCCACTGGGACCCCTAAACCTGCGAGGACAAATTCAAAGTCAAGAGGTCATCAAAAGCAAACGACGTTTATGCCACCATACATCGCCTTCTCCTCGGTCTGCCCGCCAGATCCTGCAGCTTTTGAACATATTCTTGGTTCTTTCGGTAAAGTCATGTAGAAGGAAAATAATAAAATCATCAAAATAAAGCAATAAAATTCTCACGACGTTTCGATTGCAATACAAGCAATCATTATCAGGTGTGAAAACCACAGCAATATGATGATTGCTTGTGTTGCAATCGAAACGTCGTGAGAATCTTATTGTTTTATTTATTATTATTTTATTATTTCCCTTCTACGTGACTTTACCGAAAGAACCAAGAATATGAATCCCTACAGTCACGAAAGCTGTAAATCGAAGCTTTTGAACAGTTTGATGAACAACGTCCTTGGTCTGCTGGAACCGCGGGCTTTCGTGAACTGGCACTTGTTTAGCCGTGAGTGCCTGTTAATGTTGGCCGTAGCCTCCTGTTCTGGAAATGTCTTTCGCTCGTTTACAAATGAGGATATTCCATTATACGCATCAGTTTCTCACGAAGGCTGCAGCTGACATTAAACCAGTTTCCTCTGAACACCAACTCAAGACTGTGCCCGCGCGTAGCTTTCCATGACACCCATACATACATGACCAAAAGCGTTTTAATTCTGAGCACAGGCAATGCAGAAGAATAATGATGTTGCAGAAAAACATTTTCATTTCGTATGGAGAACATTATTGAGTGTGACGGGGTTCTGGCACTGTTAGCTTCCAATTTGTTGTACGTTATGTTCCACGTCAACTCGCGCTTGTTAACATTTAAATATTAATTGTACATCAGGAATGCGTTTGATTAATGGGCTCCTTAATAGGGTTGCCCTTTTCAGTTGCACTGGTAGTTAGCGCAATGCGTGTAGCCGGTGGCTTTACTTCTTTTCGATTTCTTCAATTCACAATGCAAACATTTGCCCAAGCGTTTTGAGTGCTAATTTAACACACGGGCTTTCGTGAGAAATATCATTAAAGACAAGAGTAATTTGGGTTAGCTCGCGTGAATATACAAATGTGTCATTAACCCACCAACACACGACACGGCCAATCAGTAAGGTTTGTCACGACAGCAAAAGTGCCAATTGGTTACTAGTTGAGTGCCCACAGTGAGAGGCCGTGCCACCCACTGCTTTGCCGTCGTTCACGGTCAGCGCCATCAATGACGACCTGACAAATCGTCAACCAAGACTTCGACATCAACGTTTCCTGGCGCCCACTCAAGGTCCCGATCACGCCGCTGACACCATCCTAGAAAATCTCACCCGGATCCGGAAAGAACGGTGGCTGTGACGAGTGGACATCTGTGAAAAAAAGCTTTGCAGCTCATCAGATTCCTCCAGTGTGAATACATTTTCTGATTCACATGCGCTTCTGCGGCCGT